ATAGATTCATTACATTCAGCTCAGATGTAAAGTTACATTTTCATAGAAATTAGGAGGGATGTGGTTGTGGTAGACTTTTTTTTTTTTTTTTATGAAATTACACATCATTAACAACATGGAATCAATGCTAGTTAATCATTCCTCAACTTGGCCATTATATTTTTGACTGGATCCTGCTGCTAACACAACTAGCGCAACTGCTGCTTGTTATTAGTTTGATAATCTGTAGAATAGCACTTACTGATGTCTGCTTGAGAACTTGTAGAATAGCTCTTACTGATTCTAGCTTTCATGTTTGTCCATGCAAGTGATTAAACAAACATAAATCCTTTTGATAGTTATTTCCCCTTAACCAAAATGGAATTACAGAAAGACTGGTTTGCATGAATGTTTTATGATTTTGAAACCATAGATTTTGACTGTTTAGACGCAAATATTTTATTATTAATAAAATTGACATTGTTACTTGTTCTTGTACATATGTCAGTGCAGCGGAAAAATTGACCTGTGATATTTAGGAACATTTAGTTGTCAGGCTGCAAGGGATGTAACTTATGCTAAATATCAAACCAACTTATTTCTTTTATCAAAATTATTTTGACTATAACACTGTAAATATTTTCTAGAACTCTGTCTGCATTTTTTTTTAATCTGGAACTACAATTCACTTTTCAACTGTTCATCCCCCAAACAAAATTCTACCATTCATGAATAGTCTATCATTGTGTCATTTAAGAATTATCTTTCAATCCTTTTTTTTATTTCAATAGGAACCTTTCAAATAAAACCTCTTGTTCTGCTTGATTGCTAACGACATATAGTCCATACAGTTATAGAAGTAAAGGATAACTTTGTGGCAAAGGATAGCACTAAATGGTCAAGCAAAGGCCTGCCTTATTTACTTCCCTTTCTGGCCAGAGTTATTTTCCCTTTGTAAACAAATAATTTGTAATGAGTGAACTTGGAACCATTTCATAATTGCCATAGCATTATCTAGTTCAGCCTGTGACACTTGGAATAGGGCTTTCATGTTCAGCCAAAGATGGCTGTGCTAAACAAAAAAAGAAAGAAAAAACATTAATGTTGAAACCAAAACTAAAACACTCTGGAGTTATTAGGCTCTGATATGTTGATGCTAAGGATTTGTGTGCATGTTCTGGAATGTGTGTGTGTGTGTTGATATTTGTGTGAATACGTGTTGATATGTGCATGTGTGTTGACACTAACAACTGTTAACTTGATGGAGAGAGAGAGAGTGTGTAGACTTAACAAGGTCAGATAACTCTACAATGTGTTATACCAACAATTTTAAATGATGCTGTTGTGTATCACTGGTCTACTTAAACTCTTGTTTAGCTATTTTACTGTGTGTGGTCCAAGCTTGCTGTGTGTGTCTCTCTGTCCCCATTGCATTACTGAATCAAATAACTCTCTGTATATTATGCATATCATTGTGAAATGTTTGGTTGACATCTGTAGACTTGATCATGTAGCTAGTACGTAGATATGAAGGTAGTCTGGTGTCATTATCATCTATAGTATTTTTATGACTATAATTAGTATTACTACAAACTGCTCACGTGTCACACTGCAACACATTGACAGCAGCAGAAATGTATTTTTACAGTTGATACAGAATGTATTTTCTACAGCTACACTCTTTGTTTTGATTTGTTGTTTTTTTTGTTTACCTTTTTTTTTTAAATGGAAAATATGACCAAGAGACTATTAGGGAATAAATATCAATGAATATATTTTAATATGTGAAGGAATTGGGTCAAATTACAAGATTTGATGGACTAAAGTTATTTCAGAAACTGATAGAAGAAAATGTTTTGGTTTGAATAGTTTTATTTGTTCAATTCTCTGCAATGAAATAAAAACAGCTTAAAGTCATTGTCTGTGTGTGTGTCAGCATATTCAAAATGATGGTAAGTGACCACAAAATATTTACCCAAATCTGCTGCTTAATGGCTAAATGTAGAGTTTTAACTTAAGACCACATTAATCGACAGTCTCAACCTTTTGTAAGGTTGTCCACACATGAGAACATCTATAAGATTTGATACTGTGTGTAGAAATTACTTTTGACTTTACTTTTATACATTTTTGTATTAATATAACAAATCTCTACAAGGAACAAGAATGAAGCTACAAGCAAAGACATTTTAAAATGTTTAATTTAGTTGCATATTTTAAAATAATAAAAAGAAACAGAGGTTATATTTAATTATGTAAAAAAGTAATTGCTTCATAAAAGATTGTTAATACAAAGTTATACAAAAGAATGAATTTTAATTTTTAAAAAAATTATCAGTTGTAGATTTTCTAAAATTGATGCAAATCCATAGATAACAAGTTTTTTGGTGTAGCCAGTGTGAGAGAAATGGGACTAATTCATAAACTACACATTTTTAAAACCATGTCAACAGAAAATGTGGCCACTTGTTTTAAGCACTAGCAGAAAAAATAGAAAAATCAAATTACAAAAATCTAATTTGTAAACAAAGATTAAAATTACTGTGAAAACAACTTTAGGCCAACGCCAGTAGTTTGGTTCTATTTGAAAACAAGTTATATATAGCTATAATCACTTGTTGTTCTGCTAGGGATACCAATTATATTCATGAAGAGTGTATTAGATAATTACTAGTAAGTAAAAGTGTCCACATAACACTAAGAATAGGGGAGACTACTGTTCCTGCACTCGAATCTTTTCAGTTTCTGACAAATGTTTGTTTTGAATATATGAATGCTATGAATAGGCTAGTGCTTCTTACACAGTTTCAAACTTTTTTGGAAAATACCTAGCACTGACCTAAGTCATTCTTCTTAGAAGTGGTCAGTGGACCTGGTCAAACAATCAGGGGATTGAATATATAGGGTATGGTCCTAAAAACACTCGAATAACTATTTGAGAGTCCCTACTTACTAGCTCCCAAGGAACCATAGTAACTTTCCATCTTCAACAGATTGTTTTCTCTCCTCGCAAATTAATGTTTCTCTTACATAAGTAGAAGTTTGTCTCTTAACCAGCAATGTATGGTCAACGTGAGTCGTCTTGAGCAACATCGTGGTCCTTCTTGTGGTGACAGCCAAACAGACTTTGATCACTATACAGAGTAACCCCATTACATGACTTGCATTAAATAGTTATTTGAGATCTGTTTCATTGACAACTACTATTTGTTCTTTCTCTTATTGAACAAGGAAACAAAGAAGAAATAAAAAATAAGGCAAATGGTGGATAGGCAGCATTTCAATACGTTTTATTTACAATCAGAACAAAATAAACATATTTACATGTACTAAATACAACACATATATTCAACAAAGAACAGGGGCTTATGTAGAAACCAACCAATGGTTGCCAGACAATCGGATTGAGTCAACTTAAGTCTTCCTCTCACTTCCGCCCTCTACAGACTAGTTTCAGGTCCCTGGCAGCCTTTCAAATGGAACGTAAAACAAATTTGGTTCGTTTCTGTGATTTGGATTCTCACTGCTGACATGTGCGGGATCTATGTGGAAATGTACTTCAGTAAAGCAACAGTTTCTGTATTGCTTCTGTCAACAAAACATTGTTCATATTAAACGTAAGAGTTCTAAAGACAATTCATGACTAAGTGATACATGCTAACACCCCCCACTTGAACTGAACATAACATTTCAGGTCATTGGTGTAAAATAACATTTTATATTTAATATAAGCAACCAACCTGGCAAGTTCATTTAAATAACAAAAACAACTTATTTGGCAGATGACATGGAAGAAGTTTGTATATACATTTGTGTTTTTATTATAAATAGAAAGGAGTAAAAATAAAAACAACTATATTATAATAATATGCAGTACAAAATAGTATCACGTATAAAATGGAATGTGGCCGGCCAGCAGCTCTGGGTTTGAGTGTGTAGTAAATGTAGTTATCTCCCATGCTTACAACTCTTTCTTCTGTCATTCTGCCCCAAACATGCAAAATATGTACATGATTATGATGTCAAATGTGTGTGAAATAAATGCACTGGCTGTTTGCGTTCTGTTCACGTTGGCAACCTCTGTTTTAAATACGTGTTAGCACCTTGTTTTGATACTTGTTAGCACTCTGAGGTTGTCAATTAGTACCCTTTGATTGTGTTTAGCACCCTGGTGTGTTTGTATCACTCTGATGTGTTTAACATTTTAGAGTTGTGAGTTGACACCCTGTTGTTGCGTTCAGTGTTCTTATAAGATGGACTTATTGGGAATTCTCAGTAATACATTGGGAAATGTGTATAGTCTGTGTGTGAGTGCTCGCGCGCGTGTGTGTGCATTGATTTCCTTCTAACCTACATAGGTTACTGTAAACTAACTAAAGTTTCTTTATGTGGACAATATTGTTAAATGGGCAATGCTGTCATGTTGGCAATGCTGTTTTGTGCTTGTCATCGGGTAGCCTTCAGGCATTTAGTCCAAAAAGTTTTAGAACTTAAAGTTCTTGACTTTATGACCTAGCCAAATCCACTGAATCTCTCCACCATTTGTATGAAGAGTTCGTCTGTGGTATATATTGAAATGACCAGTTGGCCTGAAGGCAAGACAAAAAGAAAAAGGCAGCAAGTTCAGAGCTGCCTACCGCCTTTGTGCGAGTGGACAGGTGCATTATGGGTTTCTTTCTCACAAGTAGCCATTGCAGAACTGGTAGACCAATCTCTTAGACTGCTCTGTTTTCTTAATGATTCCTTTCTTGTAGTACTGCCTCACAGAACGACTCAACTTGTCATAGTTCATGGCCGGCCTGTTCTTCCTGTTACCCCACAGTTTAGCGACTGTCTTGGAGTCTTCGATCTTGAAGATGCCAGCTTTGCGGTCTAACCATCTGATGCAGTCGCTGTGGTTCTCTTTGGATAATAGGAGCTCTTTCAGGAACTGCCACAAATGGATTGTCTGTTTGTGTCCACGACCAGATGGCATTTTGACTGGAGTTCTGTTGTAATTATCATTGTTGGCTATGTTGGGTACATTTTTGGCATAAGAAGAACCTGCAATGTATAAAGAATATGCTCTATAAACACTACATCCTTAAGGTGTTGACAAGGGCAAAGTTTAAGTTTAATGTTTTTAACTCGGTTATTACATTTCTGCATAAATAAATTGATGTTTTTAGAAAGAAAAGATGAGAGAACTTGTTCTAGTAGGGATGTTTGGGACCCACCGTGAATGCTGTCATCCTCACTGACGTTAGACAGAGTGGACATGCTGTCATGGCTACTGCTGGTGCTTGGGGCCGGGGAGCTACAGGGGTAGAACATCTGTGGACACTCCATATAAGGGTCTTGCAGCTGCTGCCTGGACATAGTGACGCAGTCATAGCTGTCTTGAACACCGACACACGAGGGAACGTTGCTGGCTGCATGACAAAAGGAACAGTTGGCATTATAAAACAGTTGCTGCAATCAGCCTACAAGATGAAAGGCTATTCAGAGAACCAAGATGCAAGAACGAGGGGAAGACATCAAGGAAAGGAAAGACATTCTTCAGAGTGCGACACTGGGTTAAGACATGAGGCGTAAAAGACCTTCCGTCAGGGAACAGTACAAGGAAAAAGAACAGGCCTGCCATTAAAAGATGTTCTAACTAAGGCAAAAGACAGAGAGGAATGGAGAAAGACGGTCGACAAATTTTGCTTGTTTCCCCAAACGGTACAACAGACTAAGGGATAGGTCAAGGTAAAAGTAAAAAAAAAATTGTTAAAGAGTCAACATTGGTGCCCCATCTACCCCTGTACAATGATTCGGGATGTAAGAAGCATGCTGTAATGAGACTACATCAAAGTAGTCTACCAATAGGCTTACGACAGGTAGGATTTCATGTCTATGTTTGCCGTGATAAGGGCTGTGCACCTATACAGCAACTGAAGTTTCTCAGAAAGGGGAGACAATTAAGGAATGTGACTGTCCTAAAGTTACAATGACACAAGCTCCAATGATTTGTTATCTTAAAAATAAAATTTAAAAAAAAAAAAAAAACGGGAGCAAAAGGTAAGAAAGAGGTGTACAACAGGGGCTTGGGGTGGAGGGGGGAGGGAGTGTTGTTTGCTTAAACAACGTCAAGCCCCGGTGAACACGGACAGGTAAAGTGCAAGACTTGGCCTCGGGGCCTGTCACTGACGTGTTTTGTTTATGGCGGGCAGGCAGTACCTGGAAAGGCAAGCCCTGAGAGCAATGATGTGTTTTAATGGTTGGAGAACATAAGTTAGGGGTGGTGGATAGGGAGATGTGGTTGGGGGGGGGGGCTCTTCTCATCAACACTGTGTTTATATGGTGGGCTCAACATGTTGCCTGGGCCGTGCTTATTGGGCTCATGTTGTAAGCTTGGTCAGTGCTTAACCTTGGTCTCATTAGTGCTCAATGGTCTCAATCGTACTTGTATAGGTAATTATGAACCTTTGAGAAACTTTCAATGAGAACTCAGAACTCACCAGACTTTAACAGCTCTATCTCCATGCTGATGGATTGTCCAGATTCGCCAAAGAGACTTAACAGATTGTTGCTGTTCAAAGAACAGAGTTCGGCGAAGCTCATGTTGCCATTGGAAGAGCTGTCTGGTTTTTTGTTCTTCGTGCATATCCAAGAGATCCATTTGCGGACTTGTTCAGTCGTCCACTCCATTGGATCTAAAAGGCAGGAAACAAACAACATTTAGAAGGGTTCATGAAAAAGACAACACTATATTAGGGAGAGACACAGAGAGAAGGGTGGTAGAGAGAGAGAGAGAGAGAATATTTTATAAACTATGTGAAATGTAGCCGTAAATAAATTGGACGGGGAAAGTCGCTGGTGAGTCCTTGTAAAATCATTCCTATCAAACTAAATGACTTAGAATAGAAAGGGAGATCAATTGCTTACCACGGGGTACTCCAATTCGGCTTAGCTCCTCTTGAAGTTGCTCCAGCATGCACTGAAAGGGGAATTCCCAGCCGAGGACAGAGGCATCCAAGACATTGCGTGGTTTCGTTAAGCCCAGCTCCTCGTAAAATGAATCTTGCTGGTTCTGGTTGTCTAGGTCTAGCAGATCTCTGCTCTCGACCATACCGGTGGGCACTGATGCGCCGGACAGGTAGTCTGGGTGGGAGAACATAGTGCAGCCGCTGGCGTGGACCCCTGTGAATGTCCTGTGGATGACAGGAGGGTACTGAGGGGCGTTGACTAACACCTCGGTGTTGGAGGGCGCCGGGTAAGGCGGCGGGGTAGCAACCGTGGTGGGAATCAGTTTCTGGAAGCTGTCGCTGTACTGTTCATTAAAGATGTTGTTAAAGTCCAACTCAGGATGATTCTGATAAAGGAAATCTGGTTCTTCTTTAATGTCGGATTTTAGCGGCACACAGTCATCCATACTGTTCACTAGTACCTGAAAACATTAACAAAGACGGTCAAATAAACACAATCAATAGGAACTAGCCACTAGACAATAGACACTTAGAAGTGCGGAAATGAAATACAAGACTTGTTTATCCTTGTATCAAAGCCGTTAATAAAACCAGCACAGTAGTCGTTTTAATTCTATTTCACCATATTCGGTCTTTCATGTCTTTACATTAGTGAGCTAGGCTAGATCTTAGCATTAATTAAGCAACAAGTGCACTATAAATGACTGTTTGGTCTCGGAGAGGAGAGAAATCTGGCCAAAAAAAAAAAAAAAAAAGCAAAAAAAAAGAATTGTGACGTACATTTAGTTGGCGTAGATAGAGTTCAACTTTAAAATAGCTTCAAGCAATGCTAGTTTGTTTTTAATGTTCTAAACGAATGCAAATTTATGTAAATTGAAAGAGAAAAACAAAGTCTCTTTAACTATAAACTTTTTTCTAAAATCTTTTTTTTTTACAAATATCTTTTGATCTGTATTATATGGTTGTAAACGTCTCGTAGATGGTACACTTTCCTAGTCTAGAAACTAGAATGAAAGATTTAGATCTGGTCAGTAGCATTACGACAGGCTTGAAATTCTCTTCGCAGTTTAAAAACAACCCTATCTTGAAACATATAGGCCGTTAAAGTACAACTTATTATGGTATGGAGATTTTGATAGCTGATCAACTTATAATTATCAGGTTCCCAAATTAATCATCCTACTCGCAAAAACGACAACATAAAAACCTGGTAACATCTATCAACACATCCCGAGTATATACACAATGTTATGCTTAACATGCTAATAAAATTTAGTCAAACTTTTGTTTGACGAGTTGATAAGAGACCCGTCATCAGGCGGCATTGCAGTATCTGAAGGTCTAGAATATTGCATTGCACTTACCCGTCTCGTGCATGGATTGGAAGAGTCAGTAGTAAGTTCCAGATCCTTAGCCATTGCTTCAAATTGACCGATGACCGTAAAATCTGCAAATAGATACATGTGAATATAGTCACCAAATTCAAACATAAATCATGTGGTAAACTAATCTAGTTTTAATGCTAACGATATATCAATAGGTCATTTGGTTTTTGGTTATATACCTACTTTATATATCTTCAAATAAGGTTTAAGCTGGATATCATCTAAAAAACACTTTGTCTTTTGCAATTATTTGTTGGTCAATATTATTTTATTAGATTTGATGGGCGCAAGTAATGGAACTTAATACAACAGAATCGTGAAATTTATATTAAATTGCTGTTTTTGCAACTATGTTTAAAAAAAATAGAGAGCAAGATTTATGTTTATAATCTCTTAATAAAAATAAATAAATAATTTTAAACACAACAACCTACCGACAGAAGGCATTGCTATCTTTTATTAAGTTATAAATCCTTGCAGAGAATTACTGATCCAAGTTGAAATTAATAGAAAATAAAACAATAAGTCATAGTATGTTGAAGTCCGAGAGAAAATGTGTATTATAATTGGTCCTTAAAAGTAAGTCCAGAAGATCTTACTCCAGTTTCACGTTTGATAATGTAATGTGGTTTTCTTAAGGTGCGCTCCTTTTTTATAGAACGCTCAGAACCTGGCCACCACTATGTTTACGATTGAAAAGTAGGTCATTATGAGGCTCTGTTAAGTTAAAAAATATTTGTACATGACCTTGTTATGGAAAAAAAATTATATGCGCTATTCATCATTTTTTTAAATTTCTTTTTTTAAATATGGGAATTTTATAATTAATAATTTGGTTAACTTTTCAAACAATACAATTTTCAAAACAGCTTTTCTTAAGTTTTAAGATTATTAAGATTTAAAAGAACACAGAGCCTCATTCTAAAATTAGAATAAGTTTCAGAGAAACCTCAATGACTTAGGAGTAACTATAAACCCCGTTTCTTCATTGGTTACTTTTGAACCAATAAAACAGAAGTTATTTTTATCTAGCACTGAGTGTTTGTGGGGCTGTGACCGCGTTTCATTTTTTTTTTGTTCACTTGACAAGAGAGTTGATCACTACCAACAATACACCGCGTTTGTTATGAGTGGAACTTTAAAAAAAAAAAAAATATTGTAGAGTCTATAATATATTGAATGGAGTTTAAAGAAATAAACGAATTTCGAATGAATAATAAGTAGATATGCATTTCGGGAGACATTTTTTTAATTTGTAAAATCTAGCTTTTCTTCCTACTGACACAAATTCTAATTATATTATATTAATGCTTTTTAGTAATAAGCCAAAGTATTTAAAATAATGACATCGTTGTTGTTGGTTATTTTTCGGGCAAACGTTTTAACAAACAAGAAAAAGTTCTTTTTGCAACGTAGATTAACAAGCACGTTTTGGTATGAAGATTTATTTCATTTTAAGAGACTTTAAGCTAATGTCGTGATGGTTGGCTGGACGTGTGATATTTACTCTCGACTGTTGTCTCGATGGTCCCGGGTTCCAACCTCGCCCGCCGATATCCCCCCTCCCGCCTTCTTGTGGGAAGTTTGGATGCCATAATCTACAATCCTGACGGAACATCCTGAACATGTAAAACAAAACATGTGAAGCCAACGCAACTTTTTTTTTTTTGATCAGCGGTTGACAAGGGGTATTGAGTGGCTAGAACAAATACTGGGCACTATTTAGCTGACCAAAGTTTAGGCATGGATGAATTCTAGTCTCTACTTGGACTTGATCTTCATGCTTTGGTACAACACCTAGAATCGCCCTTTGACCACCGAGAGCTCCAATATGAACAATCTTACAAGCATTTGGATGTGAAAACTATGATGTATGTATTGTTTATTGATTGTAATCTGTTGGC